CCTTGAATCCCCTTTATTGAGTTGGCAGTCCTCCAAGGAGTCCAACTAAAGTGATTTTCTATCCTGGGACGTGCTCATTTTAAATATTCTTGGACACCAACTGATAGCTGTGCCATTTGCGGCCAAGCCCCTTCCACACCTATTGTGAAATAAGTATTGGTCTTCATGCTAATGTGAGTATGCAGCTTACGACTGAGGTGCTCAAGGTTGATGAGTCGTATTCCACATGGTCAGCTAATTGTTGATATGAAAAATAAGTGTGTGATTAGGTACAAACAAAGCACACAACACATAAAAGCAGCTTATGTGGTCGTTCTTGGCACTCAAGAGCAGAGCCTAGTGGCAAAACACAGTTAAGGCTACCCCAAAGAGAAGCACTTATTCTTCCAGCAAAAAATGTATGCTTCCATTTAAGGTAACTGTAATGTGAAGCTAGGAGAAAACCCTTGTTCAGAAAAGCAACACAAAATGCTTGTAGTCGAGTGGCCATTAACAGCTACCCCAACAAAAAGCACTTACTGCACACAAACCGGTCAATGCTTTTGTTACGGTTGCTGTTGTGACATGTAGGGACACATTAAAAAGTAGTTGCTGTAATTCAATGCAGAATCAGACCCCAACTTAATAGCACTTTCTGTGGCCTGATAAAAGAAAGGTGCTCAAGTTGAAGTAGAATTCAGCATGTTCTGGAAAGCAGAGAGCTAAGGAAATGACCTCTAAGTAAAACAGTTACGACTACTGCAAAGAGAAGCACTTATGCGCTATGGATTCAAATAACACTTCTGTTTGAAATAATGAGTGTGTTTCAATCAAAAGAAGAAGGATAGTATTATCAGGAGATGTTGCATAAGTCACGTCAAACTACCCCAACAAGTAGCACTTACTGAATTATGTAGACAAGTCAATGCTAGTGTTAGGGTACCAATTGTGACAGGTTTGGTAGGGAAAAGGCCACAGTTGGAGATCTCTGGTAAAGACTACTTACTGGTTTGGTAGACAACAGGCCACAGTCGTAGAGCTCTGGTAAAGACTGCTTACTGCTTACTCCTTGAATCCCCTTTATTGAGTTGGCAGTCCTCCAAGGAGTCCAACTAAAGTGATTTTCTATCCTGGGACGTGCTCATTTTAAATATTCTTGGACACCAACTTGATAGCTGTGCCATTTGCGGCCAAGCCCCTTCCACACCTATTGTGAAATAAGTATTGATATTCATGCTAATGTGAGTATGCAGCTTACGACTGAGGTGCTCAAGGTTGATGAGTCGTATTCCACATGGTCAGCTAATTGTTGATATGAAAAATAAGTGTGTGATTAGGTACAAACAAAGCAACACATAAAAGCAGCTTATGTGGTCGTTCTTGGCACTCAAGAGCAGAGCCTAGTGGCAAAACACAGTTAAGGCTACCCCAAAGAGAAGCACTTATTCTTCCAGCAAAAAATGTATGCTTCCATTTAAGGTAACTGTAACGTGAAGCTAGGAGAAAACACTTGTTCAGAAAAGCAACACAAAATGCTTGTAGTCGAGTGGCCATTAACAGCTACTCCAACAAAAAGCACTTACTGCACACAAAACCGGTCAATGCTTTTGTTACGGTTGCTGTTGTGACATGTAGGGAAACATTAAAAAGTAGATGCTGTAATTCAATGCAGAATCAGACCCCAACTTAATAGCACTTTCTGTGGCCTGATAAAAGAAAGGTGCTCAAGTTGAAGTAGAATTCAGCATGTTCTGGAAAGCAGAGAGCTAAGGAAATGACCTCTAAGTAAAACAGTTACGACTACTGCAAAGAGAAGCACTTATGCGCTGTGGATTCAAATAACGCTTCTGTTTGAAATAATGAGTGTGTTTCAATCAAAAGAAGAAGGATAGTATTATCAGGAGATGTTGCATAAGTCACGTCAAACTACCCCAACAAGTAGCACTTACTGAATTATGTAGACAAGTCAATGCTAGTGTTAGGGTACCAATTGTGACAAGTTTGGTAGGGAAAAGGCCACCGTTGGAGATCTCTGGTAAAGACTTCTTACTGGTTTGGCAGACAACAGGCCACAGTCGTAGAGCTCTGGTAAAGACTGCTTACTGGTTTGGTAGAGAACAGGCCACAGTTGTTAACCTAACCCTAACCCTAACCCTAACACTTGAAAGCAGTTCATGTGGTCGTTTTTGGATCTCAAGAGCAGAGCCTCGTGGCAAAACACAGTTAAGGCTACCCCAAAGAGAAGCACTTATTCATCCAGCAAAAAATGTATGCTTCCATTTAAGGTAACTTTAATGTGAGGCTATGATAAAACCCCTGTTCAGAAAAGCAACACAAAATGCTTGTAGTCGAGTGGCCATTAACAGCTACCCCAACAAAAAGCACTTACTGCACACAAAACCGGTCAATGCTTTTGTTAGGGTTGTTGTTGTGACATGTAGGCACATGTAGGGACTCATTAAAAAGTAGTTGCTGTAATTCAATGCAGAACCAGACCCCCAACTTAACAAGAACACAACACATGAAAGCAGTTCATATGGTCGTTCTTGGCACTCAATAGCAGATCCTAGTGGCAAAAAACTGTTAAGGCTACCCCAAAGAGAAGCACTTATTCTTCCAGCAAAAACTGTATGCTTCCATTTAAGGTTCATTTAATGTGAACCTAGTATAACACCCCAGTTCAGCTAAAGTCCAAAGCGACTTACAGCCATGTGTGCATACATTTTTACGTATGGGTGGTCCCGGGGATTTCATGAAGCTGGTTGAGAGAATGCCAAGAGTGTGCAACGCTGTCATCAAGGCAAAGGGTGGCTACTTTGAAGAATCTCAAATATAAAATATATTTTAATTTGTGTATCACTTTTTTGGTTACTATATGATTCCATATGTGTTATTTCATAGATGGTAGCGGGTGAACCGGACGTGGCTCGGGTGGCTGAGGAATTTGATGATCTTCTTGGCCTTCCTGTGACACCGGGTGCTGAAGATGTCCTGGAGGGCAGGCAGTGTGCCCCTTGTGATGCGTTAGATTGACCGCACCACCCTCAAACAGTCTCTTCTATTTGGGAAGACTTAATTTTGGCAATGGGTTGAATTGATTGATGCTGATAATTGTCTGTCTTTTGTGCTTTTTTTTTTTTTCGTACTAGGATATGTCATGGGGAAAAAAATATGTATTCAAAATCATCGGCGCTAAACTGAATTATGAAGACAAGCTATCAAAAGGACTTATTCAAAAGAGGAGGAAATAGCCTACTGTCAATCATTAATGTATATATTTCTGTAATTAACTGATAATAAAAACATGGTGATATGAAAGAAATCAAGTTCATCACTTGTAATATACAATAAGTAGGCCTACTCTAGATGACGTGTATAAATGTGATAGCGACTGAAAATAATTATAGTAGTAATAGAGTAGTAATGCTGCAGAAGGTAATACGTGCAACATGAAACCCAAAACTAAATGGTAAATGCACCAATTAAATTTCAATTCAAGGGGCTTTATTGGCATGGGAAACATATGTTTACTTTGCCAAAGCAAGTGAAATAGATAATAAACAAAAGTAAAATAAACAATAAATACATACATTACACAATACATTACACTCACAAAAGTTCCAAAAGAATAAAGACATTTCACATGTCATTTATTTCAATGGATTGCATAACATTAGGATAGTAAAAATATATTCCTGTTTTAATATATTACAGTAGAAAACAAACATTATTTCACGCGAGGTGCATGATGGGTACGCATGCGCACTTTAATTTTCACTTGCGAAACGGCAGGTGGCACTCTTGTGCTGATTTCGCCGTGCATTAGAGGCTGTCAGAGGTTCTAAAATCCCCGATGTCATTGAAATCCAGCTTCAGTTCCAAAGAGAAAAAAGGATAATGTAAAATAAAATTAACAACAACTGGGTCATTTTATCTCATGCAAAGTAGAATTATCCCCATTAGATCTTGGAATGTTTAGCATAATAACTTTTAATAGTGACAGAGATTATGGAGGAATTTATTTCTCTACCTGTCTGAACATGATTCCGTGCAGCACATATTTACTCTGAACAAAAATATAAACGCAACATGTAACAATTTCAAAGATTTTACTGAGTTACAGTTCATATAAGGAAATCAGTCAATTGAAATAAATAAATTAGGCTCTAATTTATGGATTTGCCCAGTACAGTTGAAACCTTGATTCATCCGAGAAGAGCACACTTCTCCAGCGTGCCAATGGACATCAAAGGGAAGCATTTGCCCACTGAAGTCGGTTACGCCGCCTAACAGCAGTCAGGTCAAGACCCTGGTGAGGACGTTGAGCACGCAGATGAGCTTCCCTGAGACGGTTTCTGACAGTTTGTGCAGAAATTCTTTGGTTGTGAAAACCCCCTTTCATTAGCTGTCCAGGTGGCTGGTCTCAGACGATCCTGCAGGTGAAGAAGCTAGATGTGGAGGTCCTGGGCTGGCGTGGTTACACGTGGTCTGCTGTTGTGATGCTGGTTGGATGTACTGCCAAATTCTTTAAAATGATGTTGAGGCGGCATGGTAGAGAAATGTACATTACATTCTCTGGCAACAGCTCTGATGGACATTCCTGCAGTCAGCATGGAATGCTACATTAAACTGTCTACTAATTTAGCATGGAACCCTCTGCTAATCTGAGCAAAATACACAATTAATATCCACATAAGTAGGCAACAAATATCAGCAGAGACCATGTTTATGGATATCTGTCACACACATTATCATTGTGTATGCTGTGCAGTGAGAGCACCTATGTTTTGCCTGGTTAAAAAAATTTATAATGTAATGTGGTAACATTCCTTATTTTGTAATTCACAGCGTTCCATAACAGGCCTGAGGTGAGACACTTCACCTGTCCCAGTTGAGGAAATTAAGGTAGACCGGAGACAGACATGAGCTTCTGGGTTTTGTGCAAGGCTGTGAGCTGGACTTGTCCTGACAGAGCAGAAAACAGATCTGTGAAAGTGGGCAACAAGATACATTCCACAAGCTCTCAAGTAGTGGGATCACTTTAATAAGTCACAAAGATGGTCGGAAAATGGCAGATGCTACACTGAGCAGTGGTACAACCAGACAAACATTGTACAGTATTTTGTAACAAAACTGGCAAATACAGGCATCTCTGCTGTAAGGCTGTCTTGTAAGATATAACCTATGCTTTCCTTCTGGCCAATGAACTTAAATCATATTGTGCTGAAACGGCAATTCCTGAGTCACTCTAAAACACTTCCATGAAGGTGTCTTCAATATTTGACAAATTACAAGAATAGTTTTGTTTAGATAAATCAATTGATATGATGGAATCTCAGACTCCTTAACACTCAAGACAATTCATGTAGAACAGCATGTAGCAGCAGTATTAAAACTAACTTTGAAAAAGTATGGAATGTATTCTTCTCCATGATTATCATATAATCGGGTCATCATGGCACAACAGTTTCATGTTCAGTCAAATCTGTTTCTCAATCCTCTTCATGGTCTATAAAAATGCATTTATTTCCTGACCTGGGGTACAAATGTAAACAGAGGATGTGAAGGGCCTTGTTTTGTTATAGCCACTGAAATGCTTTCACATATCAGGTTAAAACATAATGCGTGAGAAAACATTTTGGAGTTGGCAGTTATTTTAGTAGAAGTAGTCTCTAGTCACAGTAAAATAAAATGTAAAAATATTTTTCACTTTTGAAAATGCAGATTAGTACTAGAAGTACTTAATGAAGACACAATAGCATGGTGATGGTCACAAACCTTATTGCAATTTTAAGAGCAACGTCTAGATGTTATGCTCATGTGCACACACGTTTTTAGTACTTAATATTTCTCTACACACATCAGAAAGATGAGTAATTACCTAGCTATGCAGCCTCTCGCTTTGGTTAACCACACTATAATAGCAAGGTTGGTGACAATTTGTGTTCCTTTGGGGATGGAAATGCATTCCAAGCTGCGCCTCAACCTAGGATGATCGTCTACTCGCTGGATAAATGGGAGGCTTCACCTTTTCCCTACCCCAGAGAGGGGCATGAGCTTCTTATTCTTTGATTGACTCTGCGGTATCATTTGGTCATCAGTTCATACATAAATATAGTCTTTGTCCTCTTAATATCAAAATAAGGCAAGTTTCACACCCCAAAAATATTTTTGTCCCTGACTAGACAGTGGGATTTCATCAGTCATCAGTTCTCCAGTCTATGTTCCTCGCTGCTGACCCCAATGGCAGAGGGTGGTATAGGATCATGCAGTTGAGTGAAGGTGCGGACGAGCTGGCCTCATATCAGATGGCCTTGACGTCCATGGCCTTGGCTGTGCTGGGCTCCCTGCCTCTGGGCCTTGACGCCCTGCAGTCTGCGGCCGTGGAGGGTGAAGCGGGACCAGGCCATTAGCTGCAGCAGGGCGCAGGAGATGGGCACAAACACCAGCAGGTAGAAACAGCCCTGGCGCAATGGAACAGTGGAGACCGCTTGGCCCGAGACGGGGGGCGCTGCCGCAGAGTCCTGTACGGCGTTTCTCTCAAAGATATCGTAGCCTGGAAAGAGATAGGCAGATTAGAATAAATAACAGGCATGAATGTGTGGGAATCCGCCTAGAGTAAGGTTAGTGAAGTTGGTTTGATTCTAGTTCATTCACAGTGACTGATTTCTGCATCTCTTCCATCTTCAAGGAGCTTTCATCAAAACAGACTTTTGTGCTTTCGCCCCCCTGTCCATATACAGTATACCTGTGTAGACACACAGCAGCCAGGTGCCGATGAGAGGGGCGAAGGTCTGGCCTGGCTTGGTTACCAGGGCCACCATGCCGAAGAGCAGCGCTGATGCCGCCTGCTGGCGCCGGTTCACCACAAAGTCCTCGTCCACCAGGTCCGTGATGACCAGGTTCAACAGCTTGCAGGTGCCCTCCGTAAACACTCGGTTACTGAGGGGGGAGAAGGATATTTCAGAGTTGTTACTGAAGAGTTGTCAACACTGTTTCCAACTGCTAATATACAATTATGTGGATTATACATCAGATTTTCCTGAGCGGGAGTTTAAAAGTAAGGGGAGAAAAAAAAAAAAAAAAAAAAAAAAAAAAAAAAAATGGTCAAGGCATTTATATGAAGTCCAAAACCAATAGAGCAAAGCCTCTCCCCCACTCTGACTTTATATCATTGTGCTCTATGATAACAATGGCACTGTGCCAAGAGGACAAGTGGTAGGCTGAGCCCAGCCAATGGCCAGCCCCATATTGATAAAGGGATTGGTTGTTTTGGCTGACACACAACACCAAGCGAGACCCAATGCAAACAGAGCCACACAAAACTTTGCTCAGCTTTGACAAGTATTGGAAAAACACATCACACTGGGTCCTTGATATGAAAATAACTTATATTACTTGAGTACATGACCTTGATCTCTAAAATGTGTGTGTCAGTACCTGGCGATGAAGATGCACAGCAGGGAGACCTGGTCGGCCCCGGCCAGCAGCATGGCCACACTGAGGGCTAACTTGACCAGGAACAGCCAGCGGATGACCGTGTAGACCCCGTAGCGCTGACACAGGGTCAGGAAATACAGGTTGTTCAGGTGGGGCGCTATGTAAGAGATCCCTGTCAGGAATTGAGAGCAAGTGTAAGTGGACTGAAAATACATTTGTTAATGTATGTAGACAAATAATAATAATATTAATTATTGATAATAATAGTAATACTAATAATAATTTCCTCACATTCTAAGAACTAATCTTCCCAAAAAGAAAAACAGACCAAAACTAATAGCCTGGGCCCAGATCTGTTTGTGCAGTTTTGCCAACTCCTATGGTCATTGTCAGACCAAATGTGGAATAGGCAAGACAGCACAAATCGATCTGGGACCAGGCTATGAAACTAAACCCATTCCATGAATGACGCCTTTCCCTGGTCATGAAGCAAAACCAGCAGTAGTACTCTTGCGTCTTACCCAGCAGAATGGAGCCAGTGGAGGCAGAGATGCTGTCAGAGAGGAGGTGCTCCAGAAACAGAGGGAAGAAGTTGCTGTTGAAGTGGCAGTGAAACACCTGGACCAGGTTCATAGAGGCAAACCACATAAAGTTTCTGTGCTTGGAGAGCTGCCTTAGATACTCTCCTAGAGTGACTGGCTTCTCCTGCTGGGTCAGAGGGCTCTGGCCAATACACAACCTGAGAGGGGGGGGGTTAGTGAAAGGACAATCAGTGTAACAACACACACTACCGAGGGGATTGAGTCTGTAACCTGAGCAAGTGTTACGTTCATCTCCCTGCCAGATAGACTGTATGAGTGTGTGCAGAATGTGCATCAATGTTATTAGCTCACAATTCCACTACAGTCTCTTTAAAAATCCCATTAGCAAGCAATATCCCTCCCTGGCCAAGGCTGGCATAGACACCACAGGGTAGAAAGATGAAAGGCTTGAATTGAAGCCATAAAGTGAGTTGTTGGAAGCAAACCCACAAACAATGGGTGTTGTTCTGGTACCACTTGCTTGTCAGTGCATAATGTAAACCGAGTGTTTCTCAAGGGCATACACGATGAATGATTATGTCACCTACTCTTTGAGCGCCAGCGCCTCGTCCTGCCTCAGACGTGCCTCTTTCTCAAAGCGGCTCTTCAACAGGCGCGACGCGGCGGCGAAGCCCAGTGCCGAGACGGTGGCCAGCGTCACGCAGAAGAGCCGGAACGAGTAGAAGTCGCCCTTGTCCCAGACGCTGTAGGACAGGAAGACGGAGAGCGAGCCCAGGGCGCTGAACAGCGAGCAGTGGAAGTTGAGGCGTGTGCGGTCGTCGGCCGACACGGCCAGGTCGGCCAGCAGGGCGTTGTGGTTGAGGTCCACCACGGTGAGGAAGCCGTCGTACAGGCACAGACACACCAGGAACTGGATGCCCGGCCGCGCCCACGACACCCAGAAGGCCAGGAAAGAGAGGGCGAACAGAGGGCCATTCCGGGAGAGGGCCGCCAACCGCTTTAGTACAACCTCTGGGCTGGAGATCTGGGAGCCAAACCTACAATCGAGGGGAGAGGGAAAAAAGGTTAATGCAACGGCAAAGATAAACTTCTCCCACTTTTCACTAACTGTGGTGTTCAACCGTGCTTTCAAGATAGAGAGAGGGAGAGTGAGAGAAAGAGAGAGAGACAAAGAGTTAAAAATAGGGAGGGAGCGAGAGAGGCACCATTGATTTGCGAAAGAGAGGAAAGAAAACGAGGTGTTACTGTGACGAGCTGAGGAAGGAGCGGTCACTCAGCCAGCCAAAGAGAGGGTCGTTCAAGCTGTTCCATATCAGGAACACTGCCTGTGTGGGCAGAGAGAGGGAGGAGTTAGTATAACAGACTAGGGTTAAACACCCTAACCCAGAAAAAAAACAGGGTATCAGTCTTTCTGCTTAAGCCAACACCGTTGTCATTGTCACACCGTCTAAAGCAGAAAGCTTCCAAACTACAGCTATTATAATAACCCATGGAAAGCAGGAACTGTCACTCACCTCTCCCACCCAGAAGGAGAGCTTGTCGATCTTGTAAACAGAGACAAAGGTCTCCACGTAGTAGAGCAGGAAGACGTTGTGCAGGATGGAGCCAAACAGGGCCAGGGAGCCGTAGAGGACTGCAGTGGAGACACCAGCGGAGACAGCTAGCCTCCTACCCATTCTCATCACTCAGTCACTCTGCTGCTCCGTTCCCCGCCGCCACAACACGCTCATAGTCATCCCACAGACCAGCCGGGGGCTAGGGGCACCACCGTACCCACTCCTGCCAGAGCAAACAACAAACATGTCAATAACCATTTGGAGGGCAGACTAAATGTGGATGTGTGAAGCAGTGGAGGCTGCTGAGGGGAGGACGGCCCATAATAATGGCTGGAACGGAGCGAATGGAATGGCATCTAACACCTGGAAACCATGTGTTTGATACCATTCGACTATTCTGCTCCAGCCATTACCACGAGTCCGTCCTCCCCAATTAAGGTGCCACCAACCACCTGTGGTGTAAAGTATGAGGTGGGTTAGGTTGCCCTACAGAGTGGTAGAAGAGACAGCTTGAGAAAATAGACATGAAGGAACAAGAGTAACACATAGCCTACTTACACACACAAAAAACAGACAATGGGCCATGTCTGAACAGGGAAGTTTCCATGACAGAGATCAGAGTAATTTCACACACTGAGGGCCATTCAATGCATTATAAACACAGTCTGGATCGCAGGGCTGTGTAAGCAGGTGGAGGGGGGAGCAGGCTGTTTCCATGGTGACCCCATACTCTATTCATTAGGTGAGAGTGAAGTTATTGTGAGCAGTAACTGAGCCTTAGACTGTGTCCCAAATGGCACCCTATTCTCTACATAGTGTACTACTTTTGATCAAAGCCCTATGGGCCCTGGTCAAAAGTAGTGTGCTATATAGAGAACAGGGTGCCATTTAGGACAGCATTCGTTTATCCTGTGTCTCCTCTGGCCTGGCAAAGCTGGATGACAGGGGAGGTTGTAATCCTATCCTCTGATCACTGTGATTATGGGGTCCGTCTCAAGATACTAACTACACCATTCTCATAAAAGCCATTGGCTGGCCTCTTTCACACAGGAAGAGAGCCACAATTTAAAAGGCACCAAATCTCTTCATGCTCATATTCTAGCTTTTGGTCCTTATTTGTTCTATGGTTGGTTTTGTAGGTAGGCCCTATTTTTGCCTGAGGCAAACTAAGGTGTAGCCTTGCTTTGTCCTCTGTCAAATGTCAATTAAGGAAAGTTGCCTTACTTCAATATTGTTATGTTATGTTGAATCACTTCAGCAAATAATTAGCTCATCTGCTATTTGTTAACTGGGTGGAGCATTGCCTGCAAAGCCTAAGAATAATGTTTTTCCATATCCTCCTTTTGTGGCCTGGTGGTTTACTGCTGTAGTTTTGCCAACTGTAAAGTGAAGCCTAGAGGCAGTTATTCCCCACAATTATCCAGCATGACTCTCCCTTCAGGCACAAGTCTCACACGTGGCATCCAATGGAAAAAATATATAGCCTAGGCTCTGGCTTCTAGCTCCACATCTGCCTGTTAGTTGCTACACCACACAAGCCATGGCCCTGTTCTACCACTATGCCATTTGACAGAAAACAGTGAAATCAGTCAACTTGCAAAAACAAATTCTAAACAATTACATTTTCTTCAGTTCTCACTAGAGAAACTGCACACAGAGTTCTGGTTAGACTAAATGTCAACAAATACAAGTACAGCAAGTGCCAGCTGTGTCTGATCTCATCAGATCCATGTGGTGGAGCAGAACGACTTCGCTGCATTGTACTGTATCACATCTCAAAATGTGATTCACATCACACTCGACTCAACTTATCTAATCTTCTGGGAACAGGTAGCAGAGTAGTTTGTGTACAGTATAGTTCAGTGCACCTCTAAATAGGGTAGAATCTAGTTCTAATGGATGCCAGGGCAGCTCTCACCTGCCTATAGAGACTGGAGAGGCTTCTTGGCAGAGACAGTAGGTCGTGATTATCAGCCAGTCAAGACATTGGGTTGGTAGCTAGTTAGTACCTATCTAAATTATTTAAATCTAGTTAGTGAGATATCTGTACACATATAGCTAGTTAGCTAAACAATACGATTGCTGCCCCGTATTAGAGACATTTGTCCAGTCCTTCCACTGGTTACAGTAGCTAGCTGCATCCGCTGACGAGTGTAGGGTTGATAGCTGGTAGCTAGGCTAACCAGTAACCAACGAGTTAAGTAGCTAGACCTGTGGTTAGACCAAGCGCCTAACCACAAAGAACATGTACTTACCATCATCATTGAATGAAGCCTCTGAAACGAGTGGGAACCCTTGCTAATCAATACAATTACAACAGGCAGCTGCTAGCAAGCCACAGTTTACATTAGTATACGTCACATCAACCGTTTATCAGCCACGCCCACTGGGCTGATCACGAATCGGATTTCAGAAGGGTTTCCCCACCATAGAGATAGATAGAGGACTCATCTTTGTATTTGTGCTATTAAGTGTATTTGACAGCATGGGCAGCGCCATTGAGGCAATCGCCATTTTGAAGTTGTCAAGTTTCTTCTTCACGATTGGCTGATCCCTCCTGATGACCCATTTGGACATTACTCCAACAGGGTCACCAGGAGGATTCAGCCAATGAAGTTGAAAGTCCCACCCAGTTGATTAAATTAAGATTAACTTAAATTAAATACAATTAAATTTAAAAAATGAGGATGGTAGAAGCCCTCAATGGCTCTACCCACGCTAATAAGGCATTTTGGCCACTAGTGCCATCTATCATTGGGGTCGTTGGAGTGGATCACTTTTATCAAGTCGGTGACCACCGCCTTTCAACGTTTATTGCATTATGGGTATAAAAATTGTCCAACTTGCGCCTACATGTCAACTGCATGAACTTATAATAATAATAATAATAAGCCATTTAGCAGACGCTTTTATCCAAAGCGACTTACAAGTCATGCGTGCATACATTTTTGTGTATGGGTGGTCCCGGGGATTGAACCCACTACCCTGGCGTTACAAGCGCCGTGCTCTACCAGCTGAGCTACAGAGGACCACCCAACTTTAGAACAACCATGTGATCAAAGGTCATGAAGTTTCGACTGCAGTCGACTTACATTTTCTGCAGTTGCTCCTCACCAGCTGCAACTTGAAGCCATCACCTGCATTGTGGGAGGCACTATTTGTCAACCAATCATTTGAGTTTTTTTTGTTTGACCCACGCTAACCTAACGTAGCATGCATAAAATAAACTACATACTGGTCTTGAGGAGAAAAACTGTTGGGGGAGGTTCTCTTCTGCACTGTTTAAACTATTTGTAAGTCGCTCTGGATAAGAGCGTCTGCTAAATGACGTAAATGTAAATATAACCAATCCAGCAAATGTAGAGGAGCAGGTGTTAAGATGGAGTGTCGCCACAGAGTTTCTGAACGTACTGTACTGTCTTGGGTGTTGCCTTGATAACTTTGTCGCGATTCATATGTATACAGCGGATATGTACAAATGAATGGTATTTGAGTCTCTCTATCCCCAACTGGTACACACATACAGTTGAAGTCGGAAGTTTACATACACTTAGGTTGGAGTCATTAAAACTTGTTTTTCAACCACTCCACAAATGTCTTGTTAACAAACTATCGTTTTGGCAAGTCGGTTAGGACATCTACTTTGTGTATGACATAAGTAATTTTTCCAACAATTGTTTACAGACAGATTATTTCACTTATAATTCCCTGTATCACAATTCCAGTGGGTCAGAAGTTTAGATACACTAAGTTGACTGTGCCTTTAAACAGCTTGGAAAATTCCAGAAAATGATGTCATGGCTTTAGAAGCTTCTGATAGGCTAATTGACATCATTTGAGTCAATTGGAGGTGTACCTGTGGATGTATTTCAAGGCCTACCTTCAAACTCAGTGCCTCTTTGCTTGACATCATGGGAAAATCAAAAGAAATCAGCCAAGACCTCAGACAAAAAATTGTAGACCTCCACAAGTCTGGTTCATCCTTGGGAGCAATTTCCAAAGCCTGAAGGTACCACGCTCATCTGTACAAACAATGGTACGCAAGTATAAACACCATGGGACCACGCAGCCGTCATACCGCTCAGGAAGGAGACACGTTCTGTCTCCTAGAGATGAACGTACTTTGGTGCGAAAAGTGCAAATCAATCCCAGAACAACAGCAAAGGACCTTGTGAAGATGCTGGAGGAAACAGGTACAAAAGTATCTATATCCACAGTAAAACTAGTCCTATATCGACATAACCTGAAAGGCCGCTCAGCAAGGAAGAAGCCACTGCTCTAAAACCGCCATAAAAAAGTCAGACTACGGTTTGCAACTGCACATGGGGACAAAGATTGTACTTTTTGGAGAAATGTCCTCTGGTCTGATGAAACAAAAATAGAACTGTTTGGCCATAATGACCATCATTATGTTTGGCGGAAAAAGGGGGTAGCTTGCAAGCCGAAGGACACCATACCAACCGTGAAGCACGGGGGTGGCAGCATCATGCTGTGGGGGTGCTTTGCTGCAGGAGGGACTGCTGCACTTCACAAAATAGATGGCATCATGAGGAAGGAAAATTATGTGGATATATTGAAGCAACATCTCAAGACATCAGTCAGAAAGTTAAAGCTTGGTCGCAAATGAGTCTTCCAAATGGACAATGACCCCAAGCATATTTCCCAAGTTGTGCCAAAATGGCTTAAGGACAACAAAGTCAAGGTATTGGAGTGGCCATCACCAAGCCCTGACCTCAATCCTATAGAAAATGTGTGGGCAGAACTGAAAAAGCGTGTGCGAGCAAGGAGGCCTACAAACCTGACTCAGTTACACCAGCTCTGGAGGAATGGGCCAAAATTCACCCAATTTATTGTGGGAAGCTTGTGGAAGGCTACCCAAAACGTTTGACCCAGGTTAAACAACTTAAAGGCAATGCTATCAAATACTAATTGAGTGTATGTAAACTTCTGACCTACTGGGAATGTGATGAAAGAAATAAAAGCTGAAATAAATCATTCTCTCTACTATTATTCTGACATTTCATATTCTTAAAATAAAGTGGTGATCCTAACTGACCTAAAACAGGGCATTTTTACTAGGATTAAATGTCAGGAATTGTGAAAAACTGAGTTTAAATGTA